TATCTGTTGTCATGAGATTTGTACCTGGAGATTGTTTTGATCTGTGTTTAAATCTTCCTTGAAAATACCATTGATAGAAAACAATGTAAAAAAAAAAAGGAAAAAGAAAAAAAAAGACAAAAAGACCATACGAAGAAAAAAAGGGAGGAAAAAGAGAAAAAGGAGAAAAAAGAGAAAAAAACCACAGAAAAACAGGAAAAAATGAGACAAATAATAAAAAAGAAAGAAACAAGAAAAAAGAGAAAAAAGAAAACGAGAACGAAAAAAGAAAAAAGAGGAAAAAAGGAAGGAGAAAGAAAAAAGAAAAGGAAAAATAAAGAGAAAACAGATGGAAAAGACAGAAAAACAATAAAACCAAAAAAGTATTATCCTCACTCCGTTCACGTGCAAAGGGCCGCAATGATCCGCCGCAAGGACTACAACTCCCGTGCTGCCCCGCGCGGCGCGCAGGAGTGACGGCAGACGTAAGGGGGCGTGGCCGCGCGCTGATTGGCTGCGGCGGTGTTCTCTAAAGGCGGTGCGCGCGCAGAGCGGGAATCGGTGATGGCGGCGGGTCCTGCCTTTGTCTGTGAGAGCTGGCGGGGGGTGCGGGAGAGCGGGGTCTGGGGATCCCCTCGGGGGCTGCGGGGAGCGCGGCCGTGGGTGGAAGGGCTGGAGGGCTCGGGAGGGTTTAGCGCGGGGGTTCGGGGGTTCCCGAGGGTCAGAGCGCAGGGCCTTGGAACCGTCTCGGGGGCCGCGGGGCCCGGGGGCCTCCCAAGAACCCGGATGTTCGATTCGATTGCCGAGAAAGTCCCTCGGAAAAAAAAATCAGAACCACCCAACGAAAAAAAGAACCCTGAAAAAAGGAAAAGTGAGAAAAAGGTGAAGGAAAAACTGCAAGGGTCAGGATGATTTTATTGCTTTGGTTCAGTTTTTCCTTGGTCTCCTCCTTCTCAGATTCTTTGCTCCCTTCCTTTACAGGAAGTTCTTCTGCTGTTCTGTGGTTTTGTGGTCCGTTAGGGGCTTTTAGGGGTCCCTAAGGAGGTTTTTGAGGGTCTCTGAGGGGGTTTGGTTTCCTGGGGGGACTTAGGGGGAGGTTGAAGGTCCTTGAAGGGGTTTGGGAATCCCTGAGGGAGTTTTGGAGTCTCTGAGGGAATTCAGAGGTCCTGGGGGGCTTGCAGGGGGTGTCTTTGAAGGAGTTTTCTGGGTTTCTAGAGGGATTTCAGAAGTCCCAGACGGTTTTGAGGGTCCCTGAGGGGGTTTTTGGGGTCCCTGAAAGGGCCTGGGGGGTCCCAAGTGGGTTTTGCAGGTCACTGAGAGGGTTTAGGGGGTCCTGGAGGGGGATGAGGTCTCTGAGGGGATTTGTGGGGTCTTTAAGGAGGTTTTGATGGGTCCAGAGGTGGATTTCTGAGGGGATTTCAGGGGTTTTGAGAGGATTTTATGGGGTCTCTGTGTCGGCAAACCAACCCCAGGGAAAGGGGATCCCAATTCCCCCCCCGAACCGCAGAGACCCCCAAAACTCAGCAGACAGAGACCCCACAGGGAGGGGGGCTGGAGGGTCCCCTAAAGCCCAGCAGTGGGGTTCAGGGGATCTCCCAGCCCTCAGGGGAGGGGTCCTGTGGGTGCCCCCCAAAATGCAGGGGGGAGATGTACCACATCTGGGGATCCCAGTGCCCCCAGTATTGCCCAGTGACCTCCCAGTGACCCTCAGTATGGCCCAGTAACCCCCTCAGTGACCAGCCAGTGTGTCCCAGTGACCTCCCACTGCCACCCAGTATGGCCCAGTGATCCCCCAGTATTGCCCAGTAACCTGTCTGTGTCTCCCCTTGTGTCCTGGTAATCCCCCAGTACCTTCCCAGTCCCTCCCAGTGCCCTCCCAGCATCCCTCAGTAACCTTCCAGTCCCTCCCAGTGCCCCCTGGTTCCCCCCAGTGTGTCCCAGTAATCACCCAGTGCCCCCCAAATCCCCTCAACTGTCCCCAACGTGTCCCCAGATGCCCTTGGCCTTTCTGTGAGCGTGGGGGGGGCGGTTTTGGGGTCATAGGGTCCAATGGGGGGGCTCCTGGGGTGAGATGGAGGGTTGGGGACATTAGGGATGGGGTTTGGGGACAGTGGAATTGGGGGTGTCAAGGAGGGAATAATGGCCATGGAGAGGCCCTGGGGATGCTGGAGACACCAGGGTTATCTTGGGGTGTCAAGAGGGGAATTAGGGACACCAAGAGGGTCTTGGGGACACCAAGGGGGATCTCAGGGTTCACCTGCTTGTGGTGCAGCCCCTCATCTCCCACCCCAGGCTCCCAAATGTTCCCTAACCCCCATTTTCCTTTTAATCCCCTCCACACACAGATCCCTTTGACCCCCAATGCCTCCAAGACCCCCAAATCCCCACCCAAACTCCCCAGATCCCCCCAAATCTCACCGAGCCCCCCCCGCCAAATCCCTTCCAACTCCACCCCAAGAGGGATCACCCGGCACCCTGGGACAGGAACACAGTGGGCTGTACTGGGGGCACTGGGCTGTGCTGGGAGGGCACTCAGCGTCCCTGGAGGTGTTGAAGGTGAGAGTGGATGTGGCCTCAGTGCCATGGTCTGGGAAGCACAGCGGGGTTGGATCCAGGGTTGGACTTGATGATCTCAGAGGTCTTTTCCAACGTGGCTGATTCTGTGATTCTCTGATTGCCATTCCTGTGGCAGCACATGCTTGAGGCTCCATCCCCAGGGTGATAGAGATGTCTGTCCATATCTATCTCCAAGGTTAGTCTGTAAATGTGTGGTGTTAGCAAAGCAGGCTAAGTTGTGGGCTGGTTGTAGAAGGAGAAAGAAGCCCAGAGGCCAGTGCAAGCAGGCAGCCCTCAGCTTGCACCTGATGTCCCCTCCCTGCAGGTTCCTGTCCTTGAGCCCAGGCCCTGAGGTGAGGCTGAGAAGTGGCGCGGAGGTGAGCCCAGAGCTGTCCCTGAGGTGAGGCTGAGAATAAGTGCAAGGCAGAGGTGCTGCTGAGGAAGGAGAGCCCTGTGGTGGGGAAGAAACAAAGCTGTGAGTGCCCATCCCCGAGCAGGTGCTGTGTCCATCCCCTGTGTGCCAGGTGAGCTGGGGCTTTGCTGCAGAGCTGCGGGCGCTGATTTGAGCGTCTCCAAGTGCTGAGATGGTGGGCACCCAGGAACACAAACTGTGCCTGGCCACGGAGCCTGCAAGGAGGAGCAGAGACAGCCGTGGCAGTGTGGGGGGCCAGGTTGTCCCTGTGCCTTCCCCTGCAGGCCCTGGCTGTCCCTGCTGGGCCCCTGTCCATCCCCATCAGGTCCCTGCCCGTCCCCCCGGGCTGAGCTCCCCCCAGGAAGTGCCGTGGAGCTGAAGCTGCTGCCATCCCCCCCTGCAGCCGCTGCCCCAGCCAAGGGAGCAGCAAAGGCAGGGCCAGGAGCAGAGGCAGCAGCAGGGGAGCCCTGGGGGGCCGGGAAGCTCTTGTGTGGGGCAGGAAAGAGGCGCTGGGCACGAGGCCGGGGCTGTGCTGAGCAGGCCCAGCCCTCACATCCCCCCAGCCAACGCCGGCTGCCCGGGGGGCTTGGGAGGGACCCCCAGCCCGTGTGCCCCACACTGAGCTGGCAGAGAGAGAGCCAAGGGACAGGGCCACGGGCAGGGCCACGGGTGAGGGACAGGCAGGGCCATTGCAGGGCCACGGTGAGGGCACAGCCTGTGGCAGCAGAGCTGCCCAGGGCCGGGGGCAGCCGGGGGTGTTGGGACCAGCCAGTGCTGGGGCCGAGCAGAGCACGAGGCCTCTTGCAGACCCCTGGGGCAGCCTCCCACTTGCCAGCCCCACCCTGGTGGGGTGACACTGTCCCCTCCCTACAGGACACTCCCCCTAAAAACTTTCAAGGGGGCCTTTTGTGTATATTGCTGATTGATGCTGGGGACCTGAGGGAGCCTCTGCAATCCCATCCATGGGGCACAATCTCCTCTGCAGAGCTTGACTCCCTGCAGACTTTGCAGGGAAATCTGTGCTGGCAGCTGCATCCTGAGCCCGAGGGCAGTTTGTATCCCTGAGTGCTGATCAATCCTGGGGACCCAAGGCATCCTCTGCTGTTCCATCCATGCAGCAGGAGTCACCCTGCTGCCCTTGACTCCCTGCAGAGGAACAAGTGCCATCTCTCTGGGAGAAGCCAGATGCTGCCCCCCAGGCCATCAGAAGTGGTGCTGAAGCCTCTTTCAGCCCAGCCCTGGGTGCAGTTTTCTCATCCCCTCACTGAGTGCCCGCTCCCCCAGCTGGCACTGACCAAGCAGGGCGTTTGGCACACTTGGTTTGGTGGTTTGGAGAAACAGCCCCAGACTGGCAGGGGGCCAGAGAACCTCGAGGAACAGCCCTGGAGTGTTTTAAGTGACACTACATTAATACAGCTTTTGATTAATATATAGTAAGTCAATCAAGTGCTCATGAAATGACATCACTCCCCTCATCCTCACAATTAAACACCATGTTTTTGGGCTGAATCTTCATATTTTGGAGTATTTTCTGGCTAAACTTTAAGTTTTTGCCGTTTTTGGGGAGGGTTGCTATTTCTGAAGGGGTTGCTATTTCTGAAGGGATTTTTTGCCTGAATCTCGATGGTTTGGGTTTTTCGGGGCTGAATCGTGGTGTTTTGGGGGGTTTTATGGATACAGGATGCCCGGTGAGTTCTAGAGATGGACTTGGGCAGGAGGAACCCCCAAGCCAACGCGCTCAGCCCTTGTTTTCCCCCCATCAGGATTTGTCCTTCCCAAAGCTTGGGCGGATGGAGGAGGAGGCTGCGAGGAAGAGGAAGATGCCTTGGGCCCCCCAGGCAGGTGAGGAGGAAGTCAGTGTCCCTTTGGGCGGGTGTTGTGCTGGCTCTGTCAGCCCAGCATGGCCCCGGCTGCAGGACAACCCCGCTGGCGCCGCCGTCCTGCCGGGGCCGGAGTTGGGGGGATGTCCTTGGCCTTCCCTGTGGGCCGGAGGCAAATCCCCTGCCTGTCCTTCTTGCTTCCTGCCCCAGGCCCCGAGCTGAGGAGGGAGAGCCCGGAGGACAAATCCCCCCGTGAGACCCTGGTGGGAGAGGCCGTTTTGAAGGGCTCCCCGGCGCAGGAAGGCAGCGGGGAGGAAAAGGGCCGGAGATCCCCCCACAGGAGGGGCTCCAAAGCCAGCCCAGGGTGCTCTGAGGAGGAAAGAGCCAGCCTGTGCCGGGAAGGCGGCCGGAGCTTGAGGGGGAGCTCTGACCTGGTGGTCCCTGAGCAGCCTCCCAGCAGAGAGAAACCCTTCAGGTGCTTGGAATGTGGGAAGAGCTTTAGGTGGAGCACCAGCCTCCTCACCCACCAGCACATCCACACTGGGGAACGTCCTTACACGTGTGGGGAATGTGGGATGAGCTTCAGTGACAGCTCCACCCTTCGCAGACACAAGCACATCCACACCGGGGAACGACCCTACCCATGTGGGGAATGTGGGAAGAGCTTCAGTGACAGCTCCACCCTTCGCAAACACAAGCACATCCACACTGGGGAACGTCCTTACATGTGTTGGGAATGTGGAAAGAGCTTCAGGGACAGCTCCAACCTTCGCATGCACCAAGTCATCCACACTGGGGAACGGCCATACACGTGTGGGGAATGTGGGAAGAGGTTTCAGACCAGCGGGAATCTCGTCAGGCATGAGCGGACGCACACGGATGAGAGGCCCTTCCGCTGCACCGACTGCGGGAAGGGCTTCAACCGGAACTCCCACCTCATCACCCACCGGCGCATCCACACCGGGGAGAAGCCCTACAAGTGTGGGGAGTGTGGGAAGAGCTTCACCCGCAGCTCTGCCTTGACCCAACACCAACGGACCCACCAGTAAGAGAAGCCCCACCAGTGCCCCGACTGCAGGAAGAGCTTCGGCCGCTACTTACACCCCGAATGAAGCCCCTGATGGGGAGGCAACCCCTGGAGTCCAGTGACTGTCACTCCATCCCTTTTGACCACAAAGGGCCAGTCCCCTTTCCCAGGGGCAGGTTCTGACAACAGAACCCTTCTTGGGGGGTGTGTGGAGATTCCTGCCTTGGCTGGGGACCCCCCCAGGGTCACTCCTGGAGGTTGAGAGCAGAGATCTCCCCACCAGCGTTGGTCTGGGGGAGTTCCATCTGTCTCTAATTAAAAATTTCTCGTTTTGTGGCAGCTTGAGTAGAATTGCTTCAACAATTGCTTTAGTGTAGAGCACTGTCCTATCTTATCCTGTACAGGTAGTTTTAGTGTATATATTGTGCACTAAGTAATTCTGATGAAGATCTTTTGTCTGATCATTTGTATCCCTAAATAAATTCCTTTTTATCAATAGATCTGATTTGCCATCAATAAAACCTAGGGGACCAAAGTGATTCAGTCACACTTCTGTAATTTCTCTAAACTGAAACTGTTGGCATGATCCAAGGTTGAGATTGGATCCAGCAGCCCCCAGCACCCCACAGTAAGTTGGGAGCTCAGAGGGGCCACCCCCCTTTCCCAGCCCTCCTGTGCCCAAAGGCTCCCATGGGACCGTTTATCCCACCACACTACCCCTGCTCTTTTACCCTTCTCCCTGTTCCTCCCACTTTTTCATAGTCCACTCAATCCCCAGCCCCAATTAGGATCACTCTGGGGGTCCCAATCCCCATTTTTCCCCCCTCTCTCACCCCTTCCACATCATCTCCCCACTCCCCAGCCCTCTCATGCTCAGTTTGGGGGTCCCACCCTCCTCTTTCCCCACTCTCCTGACCTCTCCCACTTATTTCCCATCATTCTCAATGGTCCCCCCCTCCACTTTTGGGGGGTCTCACTCCCCTCCCACTCAGTTTGGGGTCCCACTACCCCTTTATCCCCTCTAACCCTCCCTTTTCCCACCGACCTCCCCCTTCCCACCCCCCGCTCACCCGAAAGCTCCTCGCCCAAAGCAGCTGGGGGGGCTCCCAGCACCACCAGTGCCCAGAGAAGTCCCCCCAGAAAAGGGGTTGGGTGAGGTCCTGGGGGGGCTTTGAGTGTGTTTGGGGGTCCTCGGGGAGCTCTAAGAAGGTTTTGAGGGGTTCCCAGCACCTTTTGGGATGAGCTGGGTACCTACTGAGGGGCAGGTGCCCTCCCAAAGCCCCCCCAGAGTGGGGTTACACGGGGGAAACAGGGGAGTCCCTATTCCCGATCCATCCCGGAGCCAGTTCTGCCCCCCCCAAACTCGGCTCCACCCCTCGTTATCCACCCCCCCTCCCCCACTGCCCCCCAATAACCAGGACTGGGGAGAACTGGGAAGCTTTCCTGGGATCAGGAGTGGCAGCAGGGGAGGGGGGGACACACGACCCCCCAAAATCCTCACAGGGACAGGAGGGGTCCAGGCTGGGCCCGAGGCCCCGGGGAGGGGCTGCGGCCGCCGCCGGCTCAGGAGCTCTGTGGGGAGAGAAAAGGGGGTGACAGCGGGGTGGGGGGTCCCCGGGGGGGCACAGACGCTCTGGGGGGACACACGACCCCCTGGGACCCCCCTCACCTTCTGGCGCAGGTAGAAGCCGAGCCCCAGCGCCAGGGAGACGAAGGCCAAGAGGAAGCCCCCGGCCCCTCCTTGGCAGCAATTGCTCAGGCTGATGGAGCCCGGCAGGGCCGGGGCCGCCGGCGGTGTCCGATCCCGGCAGGAAGCGGGGAGGGCCCCGGGGAGCGGCGGCGGCGGGCGGGGCCCTGGGGGAGCCGCCCCGAGGGGTCCCCGCCGCCCGGGGCACTGAAGGAGCCGCCCCGGGACGGGCCCTGGCGGGGGTCGCCAGAGAGGGGGGCGAGCTGGGAACAGAATCAGCTCCGGAGAATAAACCGAGGGAAACCAAAGGGCCGCGCCGGGGGAGTCTCCGCCGCCCCGGAGCTGAAAGAGCTGCCCCGCGGGACGAGCGAGGAGGGGCGGCGGGGAAACAGTCGCCCGGGGTGTGGCGAGGGAGGCGGGAATGGGATAAAAGAGAGAGAATAGAGGGAGAAATCGCTTTGTTTCCCCCCTACCTCCCCACCCCAGCTCCCTTTTGTATACAGATAAAAGCAGGGATCGACATGTGCTTCCCTTCCCCCTTTTCCCCTCAGGGGATGAGAAAACAAAAGAGAAAACCTTGGGAAAGAGGGGGAAAAAGCCAACTCTGCAAAACTATCTCCTCTGAGTAAGTTGTGCTGCCAAAGGAAATTCTGACTCCAGAGGTGCCCAAGCAGCCGGCAGAGCCCCCACCCTGCCCACTCACACCCTTCAGCTCAACACTGGGGTTTTCCCCTCCCTGGCACTGCCCAGTCCAGCCCCTCCCTGGTCCCCCCATCTCCCTGCCCCTGCCCCAGCCCAGCAGAGCAGCACACTCAGGTCTGGCCCTGCAGCAGGACATGGAGGCCATGGAGCTCAGGGACAGGCCCTCTGGGGCTGCAATGCTCAGCACATCATCAGCTCAGGCAGCTCCTGCAGCCCCAGGGCCAGCCCCGCTCCCCAGCACAGCAGCAGAGAATCGGCCCCGGGCTCCTCAGGCCCCATTTGCCATCTCCAGGGGCACTGGCCACCACCAGCACCAGCTGGAGCAGCCTCAGCCCCTCAGCCCCCACAGTGGGACCCTGAGGGCAGCACACGGACTCCAGGGAGAAACCAGCAAGGCAAGGACCCTCTGGGGAGTCTGCTCCTTGGCCTTGTTCTTGAGAGCCCTTGAGAAGAAGAGCTGAGGCTTCAGGCTGTGCCCGGAGCAAATGGAGCCCCTTGTGTGGTGGAAAGAGTGCAGTGGAGCCCAGCTCATGCCAGCAGTGCCATGGCCACAGGACTGACCCAGCCCAGCCCAGGGACCAAGGCCCAGAGCACTGAGGCCTCACCGAGGCCCAGAAGGGGAGGGTGGCAGGAGAAAAAGAGCAGCTCTCAACAGGCCAAATGCTGCTGCTCCCTGGCACTGCTGCTGGGCTGGGACTCTGTTTCCCTGCCCCTCTGCACACAGGCACTGCCCTGCCAGACTCATCAGAGGTCTCAGAAGATTGAACTCACAAAAACAAGTCACTGAAGGATCCTTGACTTTGTTTCAATGCATTCCTCATTTACACAGACTCTGGGTCAAATTCAGGATGTAGACAGTGAACCAGACATGGGATGAATAATCAATATTCACTGTATACAACTTTATCCCAGGAGAAAAAACACATGAAAACCCTAACCCAGCACCACAAAAAAATGAGCAGGCAGGCTGGAACAAGGAGTCCCATTCTGAATGCTATGGAAGAGAAAACAGGCCATTTGTGCCTTCAGAAAAGTATCCAGTCATCATTTCCCTCAGGGCATCCTTGAAGAAAAAGATTTCTTAAGAGAGATACCAGAGCTTGGCAGCAGGCTGTCCTTCTTAGCTTGGAAAATCTCTGCTAACTTACCTAACAATGGTACAAACCCCCCACATTAATGTTGTCAAACAGCTGCATCTGTAGGATTCATGTTCCAGCATTACCTAATGCACAATTATCACACCTCTTTTTAAAATTAAAGGGGAGGGAAAAAATAAGTATGGGGTGAGGGGAGACTCTCCACCCCAGTCATCCATCAAGTGTACATCCTGGCCACTGCTCCCAAGAAATTAAATATATGCTAAAAAGATATAAAAAGACATCAAATGCTTTCAGAAATAAAAGTGCTTCAGAACTAGATTTTAATATTGTCATGTGGGTTTTTGCCAGATTATAAAGTTGACTGAAATGCCAGGATACTGCATTTTGGAAGCAGCAGCAGCTCACATATTGCCTTGTATTAGTGGCTGAAGTGTATTGCTGATTCCAAAGCCAGACTATCATCATCTGTGGGGGAGAGTAGATAAATAAATAAATAAAAACTGGCATTCCCTACCAACCCTGCTGCCTTGAAGCACTCTTTTCAAGTGCGGCCTCCACAGGAAACAAAGTTAAGACCACTTTCTTTTGATTATAGTGCTTTCCCCAGGCAGGAATTTTTATTTCAGTTAGAATCTTTGAACCATTACATTTTCAGTGATGCATTTTTATATTTACAGTTGACATCTTCATAGAAGATTGAAAGCTTTGAGCAACAGCTCTAAAGCATGAAGGTTGCCTGCAGTAAATACTTAAATTATTTTACACCCAAATGGAGCCTGTTGGTTTTAGTTAAAATTTAATAAACCTTAAATCAATGACCTTTCTTTTACTGAAAGCCTTCCCTTTGGAAAACTAACTTTCCCAAGAAACATATTTGGGTGAATAAATGCCAAACAAAAGGGTATTGAAATCTAAACATTTTCTCAATTTATACCTTGTGAACATTTAGTTCCTAAATTCCCAAATGCTACCTAATGTACAGAACAGTGGTGCCTTGGGTGAATCACATATCATTGATTTCAGTGTCACAGGGATTTCATTGACACGAATCAATTAGAATCCAAAATCAATCAAATATGTTCGTGCACTATCATTCATCAAATTTGAATATTCCCAAATTAATTTGAAGCATGTGAAAGAACCTGGAAATAAATTTTGAAAAGGTACAAAAATAAAAATCAGTAAACTTTGAGAAGATAATAGTGCATCTGAGCATGTTTCATGCCTGCTGCGGTAAGTTAATGGTGAATCCCACCTTCCCTTCCCAGCACAGGCTGAGATATATTCTTTTTGGAACATGAAAATACCCAGGGACTGAAGGCAGAGGACACACCAGTCAGTGATCCAGCATTATTTTATGAACAGCCTGTTACACACCCAATATCAAACATGCTGCCAGGATATTACAAAATGCACAAGGATGTTACACTCTGAAAAACTGCACATTGTAAGTGAGCCACTGCACTTCAGGGAGAAAGAAAGGAGAGAATTCCTGAATCTCTACCAAAAGCATGAATAGATGTGGCCACTTATCCAAAGAGCTGTTCTTGTTGCTGAGGACTCCTCTCTGAACACATTCACCTGTAATTCTGTCAAGGTAATAAATCCTTCCACTCATCACAGCACACTCAAAAGCACCCTGCTATTTAATTTCAAGGGAAAAATGGCCCAAAGTGTCTAAAACATTTCCTTTTGCTCCTGTAAAAGTGCTGGCATTTCACTTCCTTC